TCGGTATAAAGCGATTGATAGGTAGTTGACGAAGAAACCAAATATCATTAATAAGTATGTAGAGTTTGAAAAGTATACTATTGTTACGTGATTCATAAATAACTAAACACTCATAATATACGAATAAAAAAAACTTTTTGTAGGTTCCGGGGTGTGAATGATCTTAAAAAAAGTACCATCCATCTATAAATACCATCTATACCATCTAAGCATAGGTAGATCTTTCCAGCATATCGTCTTGTTATTAAAATAAAACATTACAAATATCAACAAAACCAAATTAGCCAAATCCACCAGGGAGGTGATAATTTTGTCAATTTTTATGGGCATACTTAAAACTTTTCCTGCCTAGCATAACTACTTTTTCCTTTCATCATAGAGTTTCGTTTCTTCATCATGAGCTCACCTTTGCTGACTGCAGTTCAGTCTCCAACTCTGGGGTGTACCTCCTCTCAACTTCCACTTCGTCTGTCGATGGAGCCACGTCTACCCATAGTGATGCTTCCTGAAACCGTTTGAAGTTTTTTTATTTAGTAGGTACTTAGACCCTTTCCAGGGCGCTTATACACGTCCCAAATATGGCATGATGCCCCATCACTTTGGGACAGCATAATATGGGCCGACGCTGAGAAGTGGCGGAAAAAACTTATGCCCGTTTTCACCATCAATCCCTAATTTTTAAGTGACCCCTATGAAAACAAAATGCCTGTTATGTGGTACCATAGGGGTCGAAAACGGGTATCAGTCACCTTTATCAGCCTCTTATGACGTTCATTATGTACCAATTACTGAATGTTTGACCAGTATCTGTTTATTTTAAAAGTGTATTAACGTGTTAAGGGTGGACGAAATAACAGATCTCAGGGATACATTGAAATTAAATAGTCTCTATTAAAGATGAGAGGTGGTAACATACAAATTGTAAAAATATGTCACGTAATAAACGTTTAAGAAAATGAATCTATGATTATTTTGTAATGGGATGATTGACGCGTATTATGCGGAGTTTACGGACGAGTTAAAATTAATTTTATCAAAGGTGAAGGAAGTTCACTCGTTTACTATCGCAGTTTTAAAGTCTATTTTAGTTATTAGACTGGAACATCGTCACTAAGCTTTAAAGACGTCATACTAGATTATATTTTTACGGTTACTAAAATGATTTACGCAACAGTAAACGTCTATTTACGTTATTATAGTAACAAGGAAAGCTTAATAAACAAGATCGCGAGCTTCTAATCTTAACTTTTGTAAGTTTTGCTTAATTGATAAAGATGTTTTAAATGGAATTCATTGATTTAGATAAGTAGGTTTATTTAATTTGATAGCTTTAAGATTAAAATCAAAATAAAAATGTCTTTATTAACATAGACTATTTAGTAATTAAAGTACTTACAATACATGTCTCATGCCCGTTTTTACCACCAATCCCTAATTATTAAGTGATCCATATGAAAACAAAATGCCTGATATGTGTCACCATAGATTGATAGTGAAAACGGGCATCATACTCTTTTTACCCTACCAGAGTACAACCTAGCTACGCTACTACGCTAGCTTTAGCACCACAAATAATGTAAAATTGCGAGCAGATTTTGATACTACGAGTAGTTCTAAACAGAGTCTATGACAGTCGCTATTCACCGGTAAACATTGTATTTACTCAACTAATACCTGCAGTGAAATCTGGAATCGCTTCTTAACAAAGTTGCATTGTTAGTGTGAGTACCTATACTATGGTCCGGAGGCCGATAGTAAACTGTTATAGCAAATTACCGTGATGTCACAGAGGAAGTAACCAGCATTAAACGTCTTCCGCCATTTTTAATAGTTAAACAATAACGCATTTCAGCGGGAATGGATAAGACGGCCTTCGGCAACTTTGAAGGTATACTTGTCCAACACTGAACCTGAACCGTCCCAGCTATGACATTGATCAGTTATCAGTTCCGATTGTTGCCACTTAAGGGTTCAGAATCGTTTGACTTTAAAGAAACTGTGGTGTCCCTACAAATGATCTTTACACTCGTATTATAAAACAAAGTCTTCGGCCCTGTCTGTCTTCGCAATAAGCTCAAAAAGTAGTGAAATTTTCATGCAGATTTCATTAATAGATAAAGAAAATTAAGGAAAGTTTAGATACCTAATTACCTATCCTACATTGTGTCAAGGAGAAAACAGGATAATTTTGTCCCAACTTTTGAAAAGGAGAGGCGCTTTGTAGTTACTTTTGTGCCAGATGGATATTCACGCGGGTGAGCTAGATATCTAATAGTGACCCTAGAGCATTTTGTAGGTTATCACTTTTACTCGTGTGGGAGTTTCCAATATTTCCCATGAAAGGCGTATTTTCCCGGGGCTTATGAATACTTAGAACGTGTAAATTCGAGATTTGCCCCCTGACCTAGGTGATAATTGGAGTCAGCATTTAAATCCCGTCGGAGAATAGGTATGTAGTGAGATGAATACGAATGTATAATAAAATTATTATGTAGGTATTTGTAAGGGTTCGGACAAACCAACACGATCACACCGCGATCAGCCGGCGTGCAGCGATGGCGACCAGACCTAAATGCATTGATCGCCATCGCTGCACGCCGGTTGATCGCGTTGGTTTGGCCGAACCTTAATTGAAGTCATGGACGCTATCAATAGTTACAGAATTATTTTTTTTCAACTCAAAGGAGTTCAAAAGAGTTTGATTTGAGAATAATCACATTAGATTTTTTGTTTTTTGTTCCTCTCCATGGGGGGGATTTGCCTTAATCGCCACATTTGATTTACTTGCATATAAAATTGAAAAGCTTTAATTAAGGTGTAACTAAGATAAACATTCAAAATATGCAATGAGTTCAATAACATCTTGTTAATCCCTGTTATCGGCTTCATAATAAACAACAATAAACTAAAGTTTAAGTAAAGTTAAGTAAAAAAGCAAGAAACTTTTTAGAAAGACTTATTCCCATAACTATATAGATCTTTCAGCATTGCCTTCTTCGTCTGTCATTCGTTTTAGTGGCCAAAATGTCACGGGGCTATTACATTGGGGCATACGAGATGTATGACTGTATTACTAGGAAAGCATTGGCAGGCGATGACGGCTGAATCACTCTTTCTTGGCTGGTGCCCCGCCGCTGACATTCAGTGTGAATGGCCAACGGTGTTTTGGTAATAGATGGCTATTGTAGGTAGTGAACGAATGGTAAAACTCGTATCGTATTTTACCTCGTACTTAGAGGTAGGTACCTAAATTGTTTTAAAATGACGTTCATACGGAATTTTGGATAATACAGAAACACCAAATTATTGAATGATCAAACGAACTTACCAAGTGAAGTTCGATCTAAATTATCCTGTTTTCGCCGAAGAGATTTAAGTTACCATGTAGTACCCCTGTACGACAACCCAATCCGCACACAATATTCAGCGTAGTAGTATTAAAAAACAAAAGAGCGGGCAACCCCACCCCTACCACGCTGTGGGCTCGGTGTCCGAGCGGTCTCATTATATTTAGAGAAGAGATGACATTGACGTTTACCTCCAGGGAAGAAGATATAGAAATCTTCGGGTTGGGAGGGACCTTAAATCTCTTCGGCGAAAACAGGATAATTTAGATCGAACTTCACTTGGTAAGTTCGTTTGATCATTCAATATTATAAGCTCCATTGACGTTAGCGGGGATTAATGAATAAAAAGTTCACTAATCCCCGTTGACGGGGATTAGTGGAATAAGCCTGTGAAAGGCTTTGAAAGTGGTGCCACGGTCTACTATAATTCAGATTGAAACATCCTGATCATCGCTCTAAGACCGGTCCGTTCACAGTTTTAACTGACGAGGAAGAACAGCTTTTTGTTGACTGGATAAAATAAAAATCAGTAGCAAAAAAGGATTTCCGAAGAGAAAAGAAGATTTGATAAAAGTGGTTATGGAAAGTTTAAAACCATATTTAAATAAAAGCGTTTGAACTGATATCGTATGTTCCTATACAAAAAAAAAAATGTTACTTTTCTTTAAACAAAGGATTTTATTTTGTTTATTTCTATCATGAATCTCTTTAAAACCTCTACATAAGAGCAGCTATTTTTCAGTCTTGCGAGAACAGTGCCAATAATAGGTAATTATCACTGCCAATAAAAGGTTTGGCTATGCCAACAACTGGTATTTTGAGGTATATTTTTAAAAGGTACACTATATTGAATAAATGATTTAATTTATTAATGATAAGTACTTTATAATATTCTGCAAAGATTAAAAGACCAATATAAATGTTTATATCTTTGATAAAACATATTTTTACATGTAAATTTTACCGGTTTTGTGAAGTAGCTGCTTAAAGTGCCAATAATTGGGTGGTTTACCCTATTTCTCTTCGACAAATACTTTAACACATTGTGAACCACTTTTCTTTCACGACTATAAAAAGTTTTTAGCAATTTAATTCACAAAATCAATTGCACACATATAAAATAAAGTTTGTTTACACTTTGACAAAACGTCATTGTGAGTCGTTGTTCAAGTGCGACAGAGATAACGCTCTACGAAACCGAAATTAGCCGATTGTCTCTTTCGATTCCGATTGATTGTCGATGTGCAATATTTATTATCGCTGGGTATTGTAATATCAACTGACATTAGAATGATCTTGTTATCGATAAAATTACTACTTGGGGTCTTTAGACAGGGTATCGATAGCGATTCTTGTACAACCCTACGATAGCGAGGTGTGCATGGGAAAATGAAAGCTATTTTACTGGCAATAGCATCATTTATTGAGATTCAAGCTAAGCTAATGGTTGAACCTGGATGGGCATACAGGAGGTATATAAGGCCAGGAAAAAAACAAATGTTAGCGCGAGCTAAAGGAGCACAGCGCCATCTGTTATCCCAAATAGAAAATAGGTTTTACTTACGATTGTTCTTGGTGGACTTGCTTTAACACTCAAAGTTATACAATTCTATCGGTAAATAATCGATTTTAATCCAAACTTCTTTCAGATTCCCCGGCACCCCAATGTGGCCTAGCGGCGAGTGGGCCGACGAGGACGCGCCCCCGGACACCCCGGACGGCCCGGACGCGCCGGACGGCTGTCCGGGCCCGCAGTTCACGCTGAGCCAGTGCATGCTGCGGCGGCTGCGGGCCCGCTGCTCGCTGTCTGTGCTCGCGCTGGAGTATTGCAACATTGATTGTAACACGGTGAGTTGTTGCGGGCACCTGGGGGCCGTTGGACACGCTCAGGGGCCGTTGGACACGCCCAGGGGTCATTATAGACGACCAGGGGTCATTAGAGGCACAATATGTGTCATTAGAGGCACCCTAGGGGTCATTATAGGCACGCCAGGTATCATTATAGACACCTAAGGGTCGTTATAGGCACCCAAGTGTAATTATAGGCACCCTAGGTGTCACTACAAACACTTAGGGGTCATTAGGGACACTTAGGGGTCACTATGGACACTTAGGGGTCACTATGGACACTTACGGGTCATTATAGACACTCGCCACGTCAACAGCCACTCGCCACGTGTTGAGCCGCGGGCCGGACGCGGCGGACGGCCCGGACGCGCCGGACGGCTGTCCGGGCCCGCAGTTCACGCTGAGCCAGTGCATGCTGCGGCGGCTGCGGGCCCGCTGCTCGCTGTCTGTGCTCGCGCTGGAGTATTGCAACATTGATTGTAACACGGTGAGTTGTTGCGGGCACCTGGGGGCCGTTGGACACGCCCAGGGGCCGTTGGACACGCCCAGGGGCCGTTGGACACGCCCAGGGGCCGTTGGACACGCCCAGGGGCCGTTGGACACGCCCAGGGGTCGTTGGACACGCCCAGGGGTCATCATAAACACCCAGGTGTCATTAAGGACAACTAGGTGTCATTATAGGCACCCCGGGTGTCATTATACGCACTCCGGGTGTCATTATAGGCACCCTGGGTGTCATTATAGGCACCCTGGGTGTCATTATCGGCACCCTAGGTGTCATTATAGACAACCAAGTGACATATTGTAGACACCCAGGTGATATTTTAGACACTTGGAAGGCATTGTATACATTCAGGGGTCATTATATACACATCTAGGGCTCATTATAGACACCTAGGGGTGATTATAGACACCCAGGTGCCATTGTAGTCATGTAGGGTTATTTTTAGCACCCATAGGTTATCTTAGATTTGCTAAAGTCTTCTTCTTTTCCTTTCTTATACAGTTTATGGTCAGGTATGCGATATTACGGCCCACAGAGTGACCTGCAAATAGGCTTTAAAAAGCACTTTTACACCAGTCTCACCAAATTATAGACACCTAGGGATCATTATAGACACACACCCAGGTTAACCTAGGGGTCATGTATTTTATTTTGTAGTAACAACAATTGTTTGTCCACAGACAAGCATCAACAACTTCCCGCCGACACTCAAGTGGCTCTCTCTACGAGGGTCCAGGTGTTACAACCTGCCTGTGGATAAATCCTTCTTGTTTAACGTCCAAGATCTGCTGCCGGAAATCGAGGTGAGGGGTCTAAAGCCCGGTCTGTGAGCACGAAGATCGAACAATAAGAATAAAACTCTTGAAGTAATAAAATAGTAAAAAAAAATAAGAATTTTTCAATCGAAAAATGGGAATAAAACTGTAGAAACAATTGTTTTTTTTTTTAACTATGGAACTAATAGATTTGTGTGAGGTCAAACGTCAGGAGACTTTCTTTCTCTTCATATGTCACCTCTCCCGTGCCGCTTCCACACAGGCACTGACTCAGTTATGTACTATAGTCTGGTCTGCGAGCACGTAGAATTTTGTCCAATGACCCCAAGCTACCCATCCTTATCGCTCGCGCGTAATTATGTTGCTGTCGCGCTCGCACACTCACTGCGGGCGCGCGTCGCACAGTCGCAGTGCCTGTGTGGGAGCCGCACGGTAGGGGGTGTCATATGAAGAGACAGAAAGTCTCCTGACGTTTGACGTTACACAAATCTATTAGTCAAATCAAATCAAAAATATTAGTTCCATAGTTGAAAAAAAAATCAATTGTTTCTACAATTTTATTCCTATTTTTCGATGACAAAGTTATTATTTTCACGTTTTCACAGTTTTTTTTTTTGTTTTAACTATTTTATTATTTTTTCCACAGTTTTATTCTTATTGTTCGATCTTCGAATACACAGTTTCCTTTTTATAACATTTCTTTTTCCATTTATTGTTGTTATTGTTTTATTTATTGTTTCTACAGTTTTTTTTATATTTTGCTATCTTTCCGAAAGTTATCATGTAAATCTATTGTCTCTACAGGTTTTTAATTTTTTTTTTATTAGTTTTCTTATTTTCTTGTTCTTTCCACAACCCTTCCTTCATTCTTTCAATTATTTCAAAATTTTTTTCTATTTTCACAGCATCTAGACCTATCAGAGTGCACATGGATGGAACCATCCTCGCTTCTCCCTCTGAGCAAGGCGCCGCGCCTCAAACGTTTATTACTGCGCGAATGCCCGCGTCTTGCTGAGTTCGTGGCTTATGCCTCGCTGGCGGCTAGATACGGCTTCAGGACACTAGAGGTAGGTCAAAAAGGACTGAGGACTAGAGGTGAGCTTTCAGACACTAGAGGTGAGTGATGAGCGGATATGACGTCATAAATGTCAATTGTGTGACTGGCGCCATTTGTTATTGCGCGAATGACCCCGCCTGGCCGAATTCGCAGTTTGATATGACTTCAGAACGCTGGTGGTGAGCTTGTGACGTCAGGGTCATAAACATGAAGTCAGAGTCTTGTGCCATCAGAGTTTTTTGACGTTAGCGTCTTGTAACATCAGTGTCTAGTGACGTCAGTGTTTTGTGACATCAACGTCTTGTGACATCAATGTCAAAAGACGTCATTACCTTGTGACATCAGTATCATGTTACTAGTGACCGACCGAATATTCGTTTTCGTTTTCGGCCATTTTCGGCCAAAAAATGGACATTCGGCCATATTTTCGTTTTCGGCCAAAAACCAGCCGAAGCTTCGGCCAAACCGAATATCAGAAATACGTGAATAAGATGGTGACGTTTATCGTTCCGATATCTTCGGGAGTGAATCTGGTGCACTCATGGTTCCAATCAGACTTGAACGGACGCGGTATTGTCACACTCTTTTGAAGTTGTGAAGTGAGGTTACGTTGAAAAGGGGGTCTAGCTAGAATTTTCCAAGTTCAAAATTGAATACAAATAAAACCAAAAAGTTTTCATTAACTTTAATTGTTTCAAAATAGAGTCTAATGCGGATTTGAAATACGCTATGAGTCACTGGTCGGAAGCCTACAGAGCGTTCGCAGTTGAGCAATAAGTATTTGAAATGTATTGTCGAATGATCGATGAATGTCTGATACCACAACTGCAACTGCATCCCGGTCAACTACGTAACTCTATTTCAGCAAGAAGGTGTCTCACCACACACGGAGATTACCTCGATGGAGACACTGAGGACTATTTTTTTTTTTTTTTTNGTTCTGTGAGAAAATATCCGCCGTGAAGTTGCAGGAAAATTATTAGCGCGATTTGCTCTCGCATAGTTGCGAATGTAAGGTTCCGGCTGTGAGAGTGCCTATAGTAAAACGGGCATCATCTAAGACATTGCCTATAAAAAATTCAATTCGCATTGTTAAACTCCAGTTTGCATTTGTAATAAATAATAAAAAAAACATTAATTTATTTGTATTCATTTTTGAAGTTGAAAAATTCCCACTGGACACCCTTTATTTCTTCTTTACTTCCCAATATTTCAATATACACCGGATATAATATTCTACTAAGAATGCATGATTAAATTTTTTGTGTTTTAATGCCGGTTTTCTTTAATCAATCCTTATCAAAATCAACTGTCAAACGTCATTATGTTTTTGGTCAAAACCAGCGTTGCCAGTTTTTTTTTTTCGCCAAGTCGGGACTTTGGTACTTTTTGAGTAAAAATAGCGGGATTCTTCCGTCCGAAGCGGGACATAGTAAAAAAACGTATGTAATCAAAGGTTTTCAAATATTTATCTTTTTATTGGCTTAAAATTACGTTTACGTGACAATAGATAGCAAAAGTAGCCATCGAAAATGTTAAATTCGTCTAGAATAAAAAAAGAAAAAAATTAAAAAGTTTTATTCTTTAGAATAATATGGCGTTTCAAACAATAGTCTGGTGAAGTGAGTGTCTCTCTCCGAAAAGCGGGACCGAGCCTGTCCCGCGCGGGACATTTAAATTTTATTTAAAAATCGGGACGTCCCGCCAAAATCGGGACGTCTGGCAACGCTGGTCAAAACATTAACGGTTTTCAAAGTTTTTTACATAATTTCAGATTGAAATTTGAGAGTTGAAGGTCATTTTCGTTTTCGTTTTCGGCCGAAAATGAGACTGCAGCCGAAGCTTCGTTTTCGTTTCCGTTTTCGGCTGAAAATCTATATTCGGTCGGACACTACATGTTACATCATAGTCTTATGATATTAGTGTTACGTGACGTCATTGCCTTGTGACGTCGCTTCTCTCACTGAGCAAGGCGCCGCGCCTCAAGCGCTTATTACTGCGCGAATGTCCCCGTCTAGCTGAGTTCGTGGCTTATGCCTCGCTGGCGGCTCGATACGGCTTCAGGACACTAGAGGTAAGTGATGAGCGGATATGACGTCATAAATGTCAATTGTGTGACTGGCGCCATTTGTTATTGCGCGAATGACCCCGCCTGGCCGAATTCGCAGTTAGAATATATGGCTTCAGAACGCTGCTGGTGGTGAGCTTGTGACGTCAGTGTCATAATAATATGAAGTCAAGAGTCTTGTGACATTGGGGCTTGTGACGTCAGAGTCATGTGACATTGGTGTCTTGTGCCGTCAGAGTACATGTGACATCAATATCTTGTGACACCAGTGTCATATGACGTCATTGCCTTGTGACATTAGTGTCATATGACGTGTGTCATGTAACGTCAGTGTCATATGACGTCATTGTCTTGTGACGCCAATGCCATCCTCGCTGCTTCCTCTGAGCAAGGCGCCACGCCTTAAGCGTCTGTTACTGCGCGAATGTCCGCGTCTTGCTGAGTTCGTGGCTTATGCCTCGCTGGCGGCTCGATACGGCTTCCGGACACTAAGGTGAGTTTAAAAGGGACCTACTGGGGACTTCCCTTGGCCTAGGTGAGCGAAGGAACGTGACGTGACATGAAGCTATGCGAAGTAATAGAGGGCACTAGCAGTTAGCTGGCTGCTAGATACGACTTCATGACACTAGAGGTGAGCTGAAAAGGGACCTGAGGAATTTCCTTGTCCTAGGTGAGCGACGGAACGCGACAAGAGAGCTTGTGACGTCACAGTGCATGTAACATTAATGTATTGTGACATTAGTCTTGTGACATCAGTGTCATATGACGTTAGGGGCCTGTGACGTCAGTGTCTAAATCTGTTACTGCGCGAGTGCCCGCGCCTTGCTGAGTTCGTGGCCTACGCCTCGCTGGCGGCTCGATACCGCTTCCGGACACTAGAGGTGAGCTTTCAGACACTAGAGGTGAGCGGCTTGTGACGTCAGAGTAGTTTGAGCGAACCGTTGTACTACGGAGGCGATCGGACGAACCATGAAGCGACGCGCCGCTTTGCGACGTTATGTGACAGATAGATACGGATTAAGGACACTAGAGGTGAGTATCTTGTGACGTCAGAGTCTTTTGACATCAGTGTCATGTGACGTCAGTTTTGTGCCATCAGAGTTTTTTGACGTTAGCATCTTGTAACATTAGTGTCAAAAGACGCCACAACCTTGTGACATCAATGTCATGTTACATCACACTCTTATGACATTAGTGTCATGTGACGTCATTGCCGTGTGACGTCGCTTCTCTCTCTGAGCAAGGCGCCGCGCCTCAAACGCCTACTACTGCGCGAATGCCCCCGTCTTGCTGAGTTCGTGGCTTATGCCTCGCTGGCGGCTAGTTACGGCTTCCGAACACTAGAGGTAAGCGGCTTGTGACGTCAGTCTTTTGACATCAGTGTCATGTGACATTCCAGACACTAAAGATGAACTTGTCACGTGACATTGGCAAACGTGGAAACACAATAGCCATAAAGGAGAAGAAGATGAGCTTGTGACGTCAAAATACGGGACTATTCCCATTTGTTGTTCCCACCGCTGCAACTCCTGTGTAGCCAGGATCTACAGCTACAACCAATGAAGTGACGACTGCGTCTTTTGAGCGATCGGTCCTTCTGGACACTAGAGGCGAGCTGAAAAGTAACCTACTGGGAATTTCCCTTGTCTTAAGACAGAGCTTGTGACGTCAGAGCCATGTGACGTCAGCAGAGATATGACATCGGTGTCTTTTGACGTCAGAGTACATGTGACACCAATGTCTTGTGATATCAAAGTCTTATGATTTCATATGACGTCATTGTCATGTGACGCCACCACTCCCGCTAAGCAAGGCGCCACGCCTCAAGCGTTTATTACTGCGCGAATGCCCGCGTCTTGCTGAGTTCGTGGCTTATGCCTCGCTGGCGGCTCGATACGGCTTCCGGACACTAGAGGTGAGTGATGAGCGGATATGACGTCATAAATGTCAATTGTGTGACTGGTGCTGTCTGTAGTTGCGCGAATGCCCTCGCCTGGCCGAATTCGCAGTTAGATATGACTTCAGAACGCTGGTGGTGAGCTTGTGACGTCAGTGTCATAATAATATGAAGTCAGAGTCTTGTGACATTGGGGCTTGTGACGTCAGAGTCATGTGACATCGGTGTCTTGTGACGTCAGAGTACATGTCACATCAATATCTTGTGACACCAGTGTCATATGACGTCGTTGCCTTGTGACATTAGTGTCATATGACGTCATTGTCTTGTGACGTCAATGCCATCCTCGCTTCTCCCTCTGAGCAAGGCGCCGCGCCTCAAGCGTCTGTTACTGCGCGAATGTCCGCGTCTTGCTGAGTTCGTGGCTTATGCCTCGCTGGCGGCTCGATACGGCTTCTGGACGTTAGAGGTAAGCGGCTTGTGACATCAGACTCTTTTGACATCAGTGTCATGTGACATTCCAGACACTAAAGATGAGCTTGTCACGTGCCATTGGCAAACGTGGAAACACAATAGCCATAGAGGAGAAGAAGAAGATGAGCTTGTGACGTCAAAATACGGGACTATTCCCATTTGTTGTTCCCACCGCTGCAACTCCTGTGTAGCCAGTATCTACAGCTACAACCAATGAAGTGACGACAGCGTCTTTAAACAATCGGTCCTTCTGGACACTAGAGGCGAGCTGAAGAGTAACCTACTGGGGACTTCCCTTGTCTTAGGTGAGCGACAGAACGAGACAAGAGAGCTTGTGACGTTAGAGCCATGTGACGTCAACAGAGCCTTGTGACGTCAGAGTATATGTAACATCAATGTCTTGTGATTCAGTCTTGTGACATCGGTCTTGTGACTCGGAAAGAATACGACAGTGCAGGCAGACACCCTTCACTGCAAACCAGCTTAAAAACAATTTTATTATTATCTCATAAATATCTCCATATTTTCCACAATGATTTTTCACCATGACATTAATTTGATATACATCAAAGTCAGTTCAGAACCATAGACCTCAAAGTAAAAAGTGTTTACTTTACATACACTTGGAGCAGTCGCCCGGCAAACGAAAGGTCGTGACTTCAATTCCCGCCATAAGCAGTTCGATTTTTTCAAGTTATTTATAATTTTCAAAGTATTTACACCTCTGTATTTAATCCACAGGTGCTAGACCTCCGCGGCTCTCCAGTGGCCGATTCCGAAGTGTCAGCTCTCGGCTGGCTGCCGGCGCTACAGGAGCTGTACATAGCGCCGGCACGGGAGGCGCCCGCGCCGGACCACCGCCACTACTCGGGCGAGCCGCTGCCGGCCTTCCGCGAGCTGGAGCCCTGGGAGGTGGACGTGAGTGTAGTCTCTTGTAGGACGCGGAGCATTCCTGCATCGCGGTGACGAAGTTTTTCGCCCGGGCTTTATACATATAGGTGCGGAGAATTGTGTGTCGTCATCACCCATCAATGGGTATCTTATCGAGTCGTACTATGTCGACTCATGCCTGCGACCTACTAGCTACTACTAGGAGTAGTAGTGACGTCATCAATGGGTGGTGACGTCATCCTGGGTGGTGACGTCATCAATGGGTGGTGACGTCATCAATGGGTGGTGACGTCATCAATGGGTGGTGACGTCATCAGTGGGTGGGATGAGTCGTAGTATGTAGACTCATACCTGCTAGTCTGCGATCCAGTAGACTACTAGTGAGACAGCTAGTAGTTACTGTTAGTACAGCGGATGGAGGGCGTTGACCTATCCTGCATCGCGGTGACGAAGTTTTTCGCCCCGCCCTTATATAGGCGCGAGGCCTCGCATGTCATCAGTGACCGTGATGGTTACTAGGGGTCTTTAGTAGCCTTCTCGGTCGCTACCTGGTGACGGTAACTAAGGGTCACCTAGTAGACCCCTCGGTCGCTACCTGGTGACGGTTACTAAGGCTCACCTAGTAGACTCCTCGGTGGCTACCTGGTGACGGTTACTAAGGGTCACCTAGTAGACTCCTCGGTGGCTACCTGGTGATGGTCACTAGGGGTCATCTAGTAGACTCCTCGGTGGCTACCTGGTGACGGTCACTAAGGGTCACCTAGTAGACTCCTCGCTGGCTGCCTGGTGATGGTTACTAAGGGTCACCTAGTAGACTCCTCGGTCGCTACCTGGTGACGGTCACTAAGGGTCACCTAGTAGCCTCCTCGGTGGCTACCTGGTGACGGTTACTAAGGGTCACCTAGTAGACTCCTCGGTCGCTGCCTAGGTGATGGTCACTAGGGGTCTTTAGTAGACTCCTCGGTCGCTACCTGGTGACGGTCACTAAGGGTCACCTAGTAGACTCCTCGGTCGCTACCTGGTGACGGTCACTAAGGGTCACCTAGTAGACTCCTCGGTGGCTGCCCAGGTGTTCGGCCCAGCACGTCACCGCTGCCGGCCGCTAGTGTCAGCTCTCGGCTGGCTGCCGGCGCTGCAGGAGCTGTACATAGCGCCGGCACGGGAGGCGCCCGCGCCGGACCACCGCCACTACTCGGGCGAGCCGCTGCCGGCCTTCCGCGAGCTGGAGCCCTGGGAGGTGGACGTGAGTGTAGTCTCTTGTAGGACGCGGAGCATTCCTGCATCGCGGTGACGAAGTTTTTCGCCCCGCCCTTATATAGGTCCGGAGAATTGTGTGTCGTCATCAATGGGTGCTTGAGTCTCTTGAGTAGATTCAGCCTGCTTGCGACCTACTAGCTAATAGTAGGAGTAGTAGTGACGTCATCAATGGGCGATGACGTCATCATGGGTGGTGACGTCATCAATGGGTGGTGACGTCATCAATAGGGTGATGACGTCATCATGGGTGGTGACGTCATTAATGGGTGGTATGGGCGTCTCACTGAATAATAGACCCACACCTGCGACCCACTACTAGTAGGGCCGCAAGAGTTGGTCTTGCAGGAAAGGAACTACTAGGAGTTTCTTCTGGTAGCGCAGCGGGTGGAGGGCGTTGACCTATCCTGCATCGCGGTGACGAAGTTTTTCGCCCGGCCCTTATATAGGTGCGAGGCCTAGCGTCTCGCCATCAGTGACTGTGATGGTCACTAGGGGTCTTTAGTAGACTCCTCGCTGGCTGCCTGGTGATAGTCAACTAGGGATCACTAGTAGACTCCTCGGTGGCTGCCTAGGTGATGGTTACTAAGGGTCACCTAGTAGACTCCTCGGTCGCTACCTGGTGACGGTAACTAAGGGTCACCTAGTAGACTCCTCGGTGGCTACCTGGTGACGGTCACTAGGGGTCACCTAGTAGCCTCCTCGGTGGCTGCCCAGGTGTTCGGCCCAGCACGTCACCGCTGCCGGCCGCTAGTGTCAGCTCTCGGCTGGCTGCCGGCGCTGCAGGAGCTGTACATAGCGCCGGCACGGGAGGCGCCCGCGCCGGACCACCGCCACTACTCGGGCGAGCCGCTGCCGGCCTTCCGCGAGCTGGAGCCCTGGGAGGTGGACGTGAGTGTAGTCTCTTGTAGGACGCGGAGCATTCCTGCATCGCGGTGACGAAGTTTTTCGCCCGGGCTTTATATAGGGGCGAGGAGTCGCTTGACGTCATCAGCAGGTGTGGAGCTACCGTTCCTCAGCGAGCTGGAGCAGTGGGAGATGGATGTAAGTAAAGTCTCTTAGGGCGGAGCGTTTTAGTAGGCGTTCCTGAATCGCGGTGACGAAGTTTTTCGCCCGGGCTTTATATAGGTGCGGAGAATTGTGTGTCGTCATCACCCATCAATGGGTGTCTTATCGAGTCGTACTATGTAGACTCATGCCTGCGACCTACTAGATACTTGTAGGAGTAGTAGGGCTGCAAATAGTAGGTCTAGCGGGAACTACTGACAAAAGTAGTAGTTACTGCGACCTACTAACATGCTACTAGTAGGGCCGCAAGTAGTCTTGCGGTAACTACTGACAATAGGTAGTAGTTACTGTGACCTACTGAGTGAGTAAACTACTAGTAGGGCTGCAAGAAGTGGGTCTTGCGGGAACTACTAAGTAACTAGGTAGGCATGTAATAGTTACTTGGTAGTGGTAGTATGGCGGGTGGAGGGCGTTGACCTATCCTGCATCGCGGTGACGAAGTTTTTCGCCCCGCCCTTATATAGGTGCGAGGCCTAGCGTCTCGCCATCAGTGACTGATGGTCACTATGGGTCTTTAGTAGACTCCTCGGTCGCTACCTGTTGACGGTTACTAAGGGTCACCTAGTAGACTCCTCGGTCGCTACCTGGTGACGGTTACTAAGGGTCACCTAGTAGACTCCTCGGTCGCTACCTGGTGACGGTTACTAAGGGTCACCTAGTAGACTCCTCGGTCGCTACCTGGTGACGGTTACTAAGGGTCACCTAGTAGACTCCTCGGTCGCTACCTGGTGACGGTTACTAAGGGTCACCTAGTAGACTCCTCGGTCGCTACCTGGTGACGGTTACTAAGGGTCACCTAGTAGACTCCTCGGTCGCTACCTGGTGACGGTTACTAAGGGTCACCTAGTAGACTCCTCGGTCGCTACCTGGTGACGGTTACTAAGGGTCACCTAGTAGACTCCTCGGTCGCTACCTGGTGACGGTTACTAAGGGTCACCTAGTAGACTCCTCGGTCGCTACCTGGTGACGGTTACTAAGGGTCACCTAGTAGACTCCTCGGTCGCTACCTGGTGACGGTTACTAAGGGTCACCTAGTAGACTCCTCGGTCGCTACCTGGTGACGGTTACTAAGGGTCACCTAGTAGACTCCTCGGTCGCTACCTGGTGACGGTTACTAAGGGTCACCTAGTAGACTCCTCGGTCGCTACCTGGTGACGGTTACTAAGGGTCACCTAGTAGACTCCTCGGTCGCTACCTGGTGACGGTTACTAAGGGTCACCTAGTAGACTCCTCGGTCGCTACCTGGTGACGGTTACTAAGGGTCACCTAGTAGACTCCTCGGTCGCTACCTGGTGACGGTTACTAAGGGTCACCTAGTAGACTCCTCGGTCGCTACCTGGTGACGGTTACTAGGGGTCATTAGTAGCCTCCTCGGTGGCTACCTGGTGATGGTTACTAAGGGTCACCTAGTAGCCTCCTCGGTGGCTGCCCAGGTGTTCGGCCCAGCACGTCACCGCTGCCGGCCGCTAGTGTCGGCTCTCGGCTGGCTGCCGGCGCTGCAGGAGCTGTACATAGCGCCGGCACGGGAGGCGCCCGCGCCGGACCACCGCCACTACTCGGGCGAGCCGCTGCCGGCCTTCCGCGAGCTGGAGCCCTGGGAGGTGGACGTGAGTGTAGTCTCTTGTAGGACGCGGAGCATTCCTGCATCGCGGTGATGAAGTTTTTCGCCCGGGCTTTATATAGGCGCGGGCTCTGGCGTGTCGTCATCACTCATCGGTGGTGGGTGTCTTCAATCCATAGTATGTAGACATACCAATGGATGATCTTGGGTCGTAGGAGACTCACACCTGCGACCTACTAGCTACTAGCAGGAGTAGTAGTGACGTCATCAATGGGTGGTCTCACTGAGTAATAGTAAGAACCACCCCTGTGACCCACTACTAGGGGAGCAAGAGTGGGTCTTGCGGGAAAAGAACTACTACCGACAAGGTTTGGTCTGGGATCTCATCAGATGTCTTATGCGTTTTTACCATCAATTTCTTCTTTTTAAGTGTCCCCTATGATAACAAATACAGGAATTTTGTTGTCATAGGGGTCACTTTAAAATTAGGGATTGATGGTGAAAATGGGCATTAGTCAGTCATCGGTGGAAGACACCTAGAATGTCTTCTAAATCTCCTACTATCAGTAGTATAACTTCTAAATCTCCTACTATCAGTAGTATAACTTATCTAATCGCTTATTTTATTGTTCTAGGAGCCCGAATACTTCAAGATCCAAGCTGAGACCACAGAGAATAACGATCAGAACCTGTGTCTACACGGAGTCGACTACAATCTGTGCACTGAAGGAACCACCAGGTATGAAACCCTGACCGTTCTTGACTAAAAATTACCTAAGTCAAATCTTTGGTAGGGTATAAAGATTATGAGACATGTAGAGGCTCCTTAAGAGCTAAATATTTGACGATTTGTAAGTACTATTTATTAGTCTAAACTAAACAAATAAAGATACTTTGACTTTGTAAAATGAGCTACTTGCTAGAGAAATTCCCGCCAAAATCGGTCCAGCTTTTTCGGTCAATACAAATAGATAGATTAAATGGCAATGCCAGATTTTGTATGGAAAGTGGCGTCTTTTTTTTTTCGCGCGGCCATCGACCAAACTTTGTTTTTTGATTACAAAATAGTGTAATAAACCAAACTTACTATGGCATGTATACCTCTAAACTCAGTCTGAACTGAGTTACGAGCATTAGAAGTTTGATTATTTTCATACTAGATTTGCTTTTTGTGCGCAAGTTTTGTAAGAAATTGCAACAAAATATTGCGCTATTTTTTATTGCGCTGATTCTGCTCCATACTGATGTCTGGAGCCTTTAATGGATGATATTGTTTGTTTACACATACAATCTCACTATTTTGTTGCAATTTCTTACAAAACTTTGCGCGCAAAAAGCAAATCTAGTATGAAAATCATCAAACTTCTAATGCTCGTAACTCAGTTTAGAGGTATACATGTCATAGTAAGTTTGGTTTATTACACTATTTTGTAATCAAAAAACAAAGTTTGGTCGATGGCCGCGCGAAAAAAAAGACGCCAATTTCCGGCATTGTCTTTTATAAGTACCATATTCCCTGTCAAATAGTCTGGCCAACGTAGGTCAAATCCTCATTTGGGACTGGTACAGTAGAGAGAATCGTGTTCCTGCAATAGACACTAAATAAGGTCTAAGGTCATCTGCACTGCAGGAACCCTATCCTGTAATGTCATCATCATCATCATCTCAGCCATAGGACGTCCACTGCTGAACATAGGCCTCCCCCAATGCTTTCCATGTTACCCGGTAGCGGCCTGCGTCCAGCGCTTTCCTGCTACCTTTATGATGTCGGTCCACCTTGTGGGTGGACGTCCCACGCTGCTGCATCCTGTAATGTACCAGAGACAAATGGATGATTTGGTCTTAACTCCCCACGCTGGCCAGACGATTTGAGGAGGCCTGTCTCTTCGCCTAATCACCCTTAATCTGACCACAATATGTTTGATCCACAGGCGAACATCAGGTCTAAAACGGCCCGCCGAACAGTCCACATCGACCGACGAGCCTCAGCCTGCCATGTCATCAGTAAAGGTCATCGAGGTCTCCCTGCGGAATCCCGGCGAATCCCGTACCATATCCAGCTCGGTACACGTAATCCCCCCATTCAGACCCAGGCAGAGTCTCATCGACCCATTAGACTTGGCCAGTCCTGCAAAGAAGAAGAAGACAGAAGAAGATGATGAAGAAGAATCCACTAATAAAGGGTCTCGGGATGTTTCTACTAATACTCCATGGGTGATAGACTATAATACATGCCAGATTGTAGGTAAGAGGACTTTTAAGGAATTCGAGGCGTATCCTTCAGGATCTGGCTCGTCTGATCAGCCAGGGCCTTCTAAGAAGAAGAAGTTGGATCCAGAAGAGAAACCAGGATGCTCCAAAGACGCATGTAAGTCAAAACCAGTTAAAAGTTGTCCACAGCCAGGGTCTTCCAAAGATGCGTGTCCAAAAAAGGATTCCAAAAAGAAATCTAGTTCTCCGAAAGATGGATCAGGGTCTTCTAAAGATGGACCAGGGTCTTCTAAAGATGGACCAGGGTCTTCTAAAGAAGGATCAGGGTCTTCTAAAGATGGCGAGACTAAGACACGTCCATTCAACAAAAGTATTACATCCAGGAACATTATATTCGCGCAGCCGGGGCGTTCCAATGATGAGGCTGGTCCTTCGAATAAAAAAGATTCGGATTCTGAAGGCAGTTTGAACACAGCGAATAGGGTAGTCTATTACGCCCCACAAAACGAAAACGCCCCGAATGATAGCACAACGAATGAACCAAATCAACAGCAAGAAGAAGAAGCGAATTCAGAATTCAGGAACACTCAAGCGGAACCGGGTCCTTCTAGAAGAATGGTCTTCATTCTTCCACCAGAAAACCACTGCTGTGTCCGGAATCGACCTAACCCGTTTCCAAATATGCCCGGACCGTCTACCCACCGCAGATTCGTCGTATCAAGAGAACCAGCTGAGAATAGCGAAGAAGAAGAATCAGAGAATGTCCCAGAAGATCTATCAGCAGATAGAAAGTCCCAAGACCCAAACCCTAACGATGTAGCTGGGCCATCTCGTGACCCAGATCGCCCGGATAAGAACAATCAAGACTGCCATAAGCCGACCGAACACTCAAGCGGTTGCAAATGCAAAAACAGTCACAAGTACGAATACGTGCGATTCAGGCAGAATATGGACCCGGTCATTGTTAGGCGAGATCCGGCTGATGTTGAAAGGGAGGAAAGAGAAAGGGAACACGCGTTTGAGAATAGAGAAGTTCGACCTCGAGCTCATGTTTTGTATGTAAACGTTGGTCAACAATTACACTCTGTGTACCGTCTTTCTATACACACAGAACCGCCTATTTATTACACTTTTGGAGGTAACAGGCATATAGCTTTACGACCCAACGTAGGGAATCTGTTCTATCCATCGTATACGCCGCATTTAGACGCTGCGTCTTTAGTGACGGATTTCGCAGTCAGGCGATTTGGTAGGGCAGAAATCGAAGACATAAACGTAGTTCATATAGGTCCTCGAGTTGATGGAGGGGAAGTTGGAGCTAGGCCTGACAGATCTAACCTGAGGATCTTGTCTATAACTGGATTCAGGAATATTACTGACAGAAGTTTAGCGCATCTGGTGTCGTCAGCTCCACATTTGAGACTGATTGACTTTAGCAGGACCAGGGTCAGTTCTCAAGGTGTCGAAAACTTCAGATGCTTACGGCCCGACTGTCAGGTGATTTATAGTGAGTTCACGGAGAATGGGGAGTAAAAAAATTTTAACTTAGGAATTTTGGTCGCGTGTATGTGTGTTTTAAAGGTTTTTCGTGTCTCTGAGAAGTGCTGATGAGTTTGAGCTTTATTAGTTTGGGATAAGATTCGAAATCGATTGGACTTGTTATTTTGGAAGTTGTATTGCACTTTGTGAAAGGATTATAGATCTTAACGCAATGGTTATAACTTTTGAATTGCTCAAAAAACTTCTCTCCATCATTCAAGTGGTTTTGGGCGTGGTTTATTTAAGCCACGCCCACCGCCTAGTTCAAGCTACTTGCAGCCTTAATGCATTGTGTTAAGGTCGATAATTGCTTAATGGAGACACGAAGAATCGTTGAAATTTTGTCAGATTGTGATATATCGGGCTGGTTGCCTTATCTCGGAGATTGTGTGATAAAATGCACATTAAAACGTTATTTTGTTTAATTATTATAGGTAGCGCTTGACTCAGTCAGTGCCTGAGGTAGGGGCGCGGCGCGGGAGGGTGTTTTGTGACGTCAAACGTCATGGGACGCTGGGAAGGGGTATCTTTGTTCAACAATTACGTCGAAACCAATTGACGTAGACTAAAGCCTGGTCCGTGAGCACGTAGAATCCCGTCCAATGACCCCAAGCTACCTATCCCTATCGCTCGCGCGTAATTATATTGCTGTCGCGACTGTGCGACGGGCGCCCGCAGTGAGTGTGCGAGCGCGACAGCAACATAATTACGCGCGAGCGATAGGGATGGGTAGCTTGGGGTCATTGGACGGGATTCTACGTGCTCACGGACCAGACTTTAATAAATTTATATTCGTTTTGTAGAATAGCTCAAATACTAATAATACTATTCAAATAAAACATACCTTAACGACCTGGTTTTTCTTGTGTTGGAAAATAACCGAAAAAAAAGTGAAAAAAGTCATGTTTTTTTTTATTAAATCCATTCTTACTCCCTAAAATGTATAAAACGGGTCCGTTTTCTACTTCTACTAATAGATAATTTTATTGGCTATCGCATGATATAAAATGTTTGCTTATTAGTGTTAAGTTACCCGCGTTTTCACTTGTTTTTGAAGAAAGAGGAGAAAACTTAAATCCTCGTAATTTTGCGAGAAATGGGTCAAGCCCTGTTGTGGATTTCACTGTAAACCTACGTGTGAAGGTGTGAGCCTCGTGTGTATGGGAATAAGTAGCTACTTTAAAGCAAACACGAAACTTTCCGACATAGCAAAACTGTGTATTCATTCACTTTTTTATATCTAAAGTCAACAAGACGTATCAAAAACAATAGAAATAAAAAAAAAGTATAAAAAGTAAAAAATACATATAAAAAGGTTTGATGTCGCCAACAAGCCCCAAATTTGAAGTATTTTCATCGATAAAATTGTCCATAGATTGCCCTTAAAGTTTGATCACTATAAGCCCGGACACATTGTATATTACCACTACTAGCGAGTATAATAAGAATTCAGAGATGGTGAAATTCGATAAATTGCTACTCGTGACTTTAAGCCACGAATATCCTACATGAATAACACACTTTGTTACGTGCTAGTATAGGCTAGTTTCCTAAAAAAATTTTTTTAGTCCGTCATGTTTAATATCAAAAAATATTGGACACATATTTTTATTTGTCAATCTAACAAATAATTACATAGTTATGGTGCGTTGAAGTTCCGCACGACGTCACAACGTGCGGCACTTTTATGCACGCATTGACGTCACGGGCCTCTTCTTATGAACTTTGGCGCGCTTTATCTTTAAATTTTCATTAGTTTGAAAAAGTTAAAAATACGTGTAGAGTATTTTTTGATAAGTTAATTGACGGACTAATTAAAACTCTTGCTTTTTGACCCAGGAAACATCCCCATTGGGATAAAATTGTCCATAGATTATGCCCTTAAAGTTTGATCACTACATGCTCGGACACATTGTATATCAATGTTACCCCTCGCATGCGGCTCCCATGCCTCAGGCACTGACTGACTTAAACGAGACCTTTAACTTTAAGAAGCTAAAGCCTGGTCCGTGAGCACGTAGAATCCCGTCCAATGACCCCAAGCTGCCCATCCTTGTCGCTCGCAAGTAATTATGTTGCTGTCGCGCTCGCACACTCACTGCGGGATTCTACGTGCTCACGGACCAGGCTTTAGACCTTTAACTTTAAGAAGCTATTTGAAGTAACTAATGGACTATTGAAAATATTTTTTTATTTAATTATGAAATGGCTCAATCGTATTTCACTATTTATTTTTGTTATTGCAAAGTATAGTGCGATAAAGGTAGAATCACATCAGTGCGGGGCGTAAGCGGGGAGTTTGTGGTCCTTTCGTGGACTCATTGATTTCGTACGCCCCTAAATGAAGCCTACTAAATTGCGTTCACCAGTTGGCCCCACTGTGGAGTAAGGTCCTGTCACTTGCTAGTAAAGATCAGCGATTGCGAATGATATTAATCGATTGTAGAAGTTTCGAATAAGCATACAAATTAAATGATTGTTCCTTCGAATATCTGTCAATAAGTGAACTTTGATGAAATGAAAAAGACCATTTTTTTATGGCAACGTGTTCACATTCATTCATTCGAATGAACTAGCGGTTTTATTCGATTGTGCGAACTAGCGATCGATTGTTTTTGTATTCGATTGTATCAGTAACCATTCGATTATTGGAATCGGTAACAATCGCTCATCTCCATCGCTAGTGGCTAAGACAATGGCGCCAACTGTGGATCGTTTCAACAATACTATTCTATGCATTATATTATTACCTATATTGCACTTTTACAAGATATAGATCGTTCCATCCACTCGGCCGCGCCCCAGCAATGTGTGGTCCCGGTCGCGCGGGGTGCGGGGAGTGTGGTCCGAGCAAGCCGTAAGGCATTACTGTAGTGTGCGTGTGCACTCATGGAGCATGTAGCGTGTACCGATAACACTCAAACATTCGCGGAAGAATGGTGGGGCGCGTCCGAGTGGATGAAACGACCTATACCAATACCATGCTGGCATGGCTATATGATTTCAAAACCTTCTAGTTTAAATCAAATTAGTATGTAATATGTGTCAACAATAGTATTACATAGACGTAACGTCATTTCATATAATGTTATGAAGGTATATTCACATTTATTATACACTAGCTTTTGCCCGCGGCTTCACCCGCGTAAAATTTTGTCAGTCACAGAAAAACTTTATCGCGTGCGTCCCTGTTTCAAAAACTGGGATAAAAACCATCCTATGTCCTTTCCCGGGACTCAAACTATCTCTATGCCAAATTTCATCAAAATCGCTTTAGTGGTTTAGGCGTGAAAGCGTGACAGACAGAGTTACTTTCTCATTTATAATATTAGTAGGGATTGTATTATAATTACAAGCTGTTATAGACTAACATACAAAAATGTGCAATTTTGAATTATATGAAATACAATAGGGTCGAATTGATAACCTCCTTTTTTCGAAGTCGGCTAAAAGTGAAGAGCACAAAAAAAATCGAAGTAAACCTAAAATACTTTTTAGCGCCATCTAGTTTGAAAGACGCCAAGCGGACGATTTAAGTCTAGAAAACGTCTAATTTAAAAGAATGCTTATAATAATGTGAATATACCTTTAATTTAGGATTAAAAAACCCAAGGCTGCCTTGGGATTTAGAGTTAACGTGCCGTGTACTTGTAGATTGCACCTTATATCCGCCTCAGAGAGTAGCTATTCGCTTGAGTAAGATGTACAGTCACCAACATGTAGTAACTTCCTCAATTTTGAACCCTTTATGTGCAAATTGTCAAATTCGCAAATTGTCAAGCGGTCGCAATTTGCCAAATTCGCAAATTGTCAAATTCGCAAAATGTCCAATGTGCAAATTCGCAAAATGTCAAGTGTTCAACAAAATCAAAATACTAATATTTTCGTGTTATATCAAATCAACAAAACAAAAACCAAAGTTAAAAGTTGTTCAATTTGAAATGAGGTATAAAAATTTGTACCTAAAAAAGATTTTATTGTTGATTTTATATTACGGTTTTATGGTTTCAAATTTAAAAAAAAAACCTTAAAATTTTAATGATTAAATGTTCTGCCAATTAATTACTTGACTTTTATCATTAAACCTAAAAAACTAGACATTTTGCAAATTCGACAATTTGCGCATTTGACATTTTGCGAATTTGACAATTTGCGCATAAAGGTTTTGACCTTTTTTGAACCTTATGGTAAAGAATTAAAGTTCAAAATGGGCAAGACTTGTTGGCGATCGTACTATAGTAAATTAAGGACTAATATTTATAAAGTAGGGTGTACTAGTAATGGGGCAGCTCTCTTCTCTTTCTACCGCATAGATCTGTCTCTTTATATACCATTGGGTTGCCAAATTATGTTGCTTTTGTTCGTTTGAATCAAAGAATGTCCACTGCTGGACAAAGGCCTCTCCCAAGGGTTTCCACAACTACCAATCCACAACTTCCACCTTCGGCCTGATCATCATTTACCATCAGAGATACAGGCCAAGAGCTTCCTCGTTTATTACATAAAATAATATCAGCTATGCTTTCACCACTTACAGAATTCAATCCATCATCAATCTGATTAGTCTGTGTCCGTTTCAAGCATACCTACTCTTGCCATTTTCGACATGTAGAGTTGATTGCTCCGCATTCATTTGCACGGTGATCAGGCTTCTGTCCTCATATAACCTGCGACCAACCTTTTCCTCTGGCACGAGAAACTTTCGTCTTCGAATCGAAAAAATTCTGTACTCAGCCTTCGAATTCAACGACAACGTGACGATCTCGATTGTCAAAATTAGTTTCATGCTACCATTTCTCATACTAAGTTCACATTACGTCACGCTCACGGGCGCTGTTTAAGTCTTCATACTAAATCTTTTGATGGCGATTCGAATACGCAAACGATTCGAAGTCAAAAAAAAGTTAACAACATTGTTGTATTCCGGCAGTCAGGTAATATAGCCAGTTCCTCCGTGGTTGAGGATTCCGGGTGAAGCCCGCTTCCACCTTCGG